AGTTAACTTTTACGATATCGAGAACGTTCAAAAACTCCCACTCAATTCAAATAGCAATATGATTTTCTGTAAATAATTTGTTGAATTTCAGTTTATTAATATAGATATTTGTTTTATTCGTTAATAGGACGTCATAGAAAATGTATTTAGTGTATGTCTTACAGTAGTTTAAGGACAGAAAATGATTTACATATGACTCAATTTCAAATGAAGAGAATGTATAGTAAGTGAAATGTAGGTCATATACAATGATTCAGAAACTGGGATAATAAAGGTGGTGAAAGAAATTGAGCTAAAGTAAAAAAAAAAATCATGAACCATTATCAACACGTTTACAGATCAACCTGTGTGCTTAGTGCGAGCTTTTTAACGTTCTCGATAGTGTCAAAGTTAACTCAAATTTGTATGGAGTTGGAATGTTTGGCTACGTTTGCCGCTAGGGGCGCTGTTCCAATTGCATATAAATTTGTGTTAACTTTTACGCTATCTTCTTTTTATCCACCTTATCCCACTAGATGGGGTCGGCACAGCTAATTTTTTTCTTCCATACTTTTCTATCAGCCGTCATCTCAACACTCACACCTCTCTCTCTTTAATATCGTCATTCACACACTCCATCCATGTCTTCTTCGGTCGACCTTTTCCCCTTCTACCTCGCACTAACATTTCCATACATCTCCTAGTCACATGCGTCTTCTCTCTACGCATCACATGTCCACACCACGCTAACCGTCCGCTCTTTAATTTGTTGATTACCGGGGCTACTTTCACACTTCCTCTTTTACGTTTTTCCACTAAACTTGTATGGAGTTGGAACGTTTGCCTACGTTCGCCGCTAGGGGCGCTGTTCTAACTGCATACAAATTTGAGTTAACTTTTACGCTATCGAGAACGTTAAAAAGCTCGCACTAAGCACACTGGAGTTTATATTATGAAATACATTTCAGAATAAATCACGGAGGCCACGAGGTTAAATTGAAAACACAATTAAATTAAATTAAATTAAAACGGAATTGAATTAAAACGGCCTCAGCACTGTCTCGTCTGGAGAACCAACTTACTGGCCTACGGATACAAATAAAAAACCAGATTTATTAGACTTCTTCATAGTAAAGGGACTCTCGAGAAATTATCTCAAGGCAGAGACTTGTCTAGACAGTAATTCTGACCACACACCTGTTCTCTTAACTATTAGTACGACGATTATTCATTATGACAAGCCTGATACCCTCTACAACAACCACACTGATTGGGAAGGCTTCAAAGATTATATTGAAAACAATATCGAATTGAAAGTATCGTTGAAGACACCTGATGAAATAGATGAAGCAACTCAATATATTACTAACCTCATCCAAAAGGCTTGCTGGACTAATACACCCATTCCAAGGAAAAATTCTCAAGTGGTTGGAAATGTACCTCTCGAAGTAAAACACAAAANACATGAAACCAAAAAAAAAAAAAAAAAAAATTTAAACATCTGAAGGTTATAAAAACAGTGATAGATTCTCATAGTTATAGTATAATAAAATCTTAATTTGAATATTCATTTACAATGAAAATCATGTGATTCAATGCGAAAGAGGTCAGTCGTGTAGCTTGTTAAGAGTGGAACTTTTTTTCTCTTTTTTAAAGTTTGTGTTTTTAGTTTGGTTTTTTCACCAGCTAATACTGACCTATTCTGTGCTTCAAAACTATATTGCACATAATTGTTCCACGAATTCCGATTCGGACAAGTAATTTAATACATATCATAATAATATCGAGCGGTGAATGGTTATTTGGTTTTAACGACATTTTTGCAATATTACAGGAGTACTATTTAAAGGTTAAAAAATTTGGCAAAAATACCATCTTCAGCTATTTGAATGGGGTAAACTTAATTGAAGTTCAATTAAAAACATTTGAATTGTTAATGCTGTTAAGAAATACAATTGAGCCGGTGTATATATAATATGCACATGTATATATATACTTATTAATGTTCTACAAATACATTTTTTTTGTAAACGATTATAATATTTTCGAATGAGAAATGAATTTCAATAAATTTGAGAGGAAGAGAGAAAGAAAATGTGTGTTCGCACCTATCTCTTGACCCTACAGTAATATACGAAACGTAACTCTCTCTCTCTCTCTATCTTCAATAACTTATATCTCCCGCTCAACTTCCGTGTCACCCGATCACACTTTTCGTAACGCTCTCGTCGCGCACTCACCAGCTTACTCTCCAAGTTAAGCGTGCGTTAAGAAGTTTTACTTCAAAAACATAAATCGGTCTCACTATTTTTATGCTACGTCGCGTTTATTTATATGACTCTTGTATTTTTTCTGTATATTTTGTGCTCTTCAATCAAACTAATGTAGTGGGTATATAAATTTACCTTTTTAAATATCTAATTGACTTTTAATAATTAATGGCAGTTTAATATATTATGATAGTCCATTTTTTATCTACATCTGAATAAATACTATAATGAGTTAATATTTTATCTAGTCTACTACAAAAAAAAATATTTAGATACACAAGTTTCTGTATGTACGTACGCCATTTTTAATCTTACCAGGAATATGTCTTCGATTTGCAAATTAATAACAGAATGTAACAATTAACGGTGCGTTGAAAACTGTTTTGTTATATTTTAATAATAAATAAACCTTATAATTATTTATCTGTAACACAACTACAACACAATATTAATTATAGAAAATTAATTTACCGCCATTTTGATTTTTAATAGTTCTCTCTCTTGTACGGCCATTTTTGTTTTTTTAATTCGTGCGTTCGTGTGGTTGTAGTTTGTGGAAACCTAAAATTGTATTAACTACACGGTTTTATTATTAATCTCCATGTAGTACAGACATAATAATAAATAAATAAATAATACATAGTGGCAGATAATACATGTTGTTACGCGGGTAAGAGTAACGCCATCTATCGCCGAATAGCAGAACAAAGGATTTGGTAGCATCTAAAACGCCTTAGAAGTATAACGCCGTCTATTGTCAAATGGCGGAAACAAATATTGAAACTACTCGACTTGTGTAGAATGTTCTCGACGATTCTAGGGATTTCATCTCGACTATAAAAGCGTTGCAGAGATGCACGCAGTCAGTTATTAATCGGGACTACTCGAAGCGAAACAGCGCATGGATCACCTGAAGCGAAGCGGAACAAGCGAATTGAGAATTTTAAAGTGTGTGTGAAGTGTTTTAAGTGTTCTAAGTGCTAAATACAGTTTTAAGTTGTACTTAGGTGGAACTTTTTATTTATCCCGAACCCAAGCGCGTGTAACAATATATACATCATTTTAATGTTTATAGTTTTCTCGTGCACGGCCATTTCTGTTTTCGTATTTAATTCTCAATGGATGCGTGTAGTCGAAGTCTGTGGAAACTATTAATTGAAGACATGAGCGGATGAAAGGGACATGATACAATTTGTTAATTTTGAAAAAACGGACAATAAATTTTTGTTATTTGTACTTTTTCTTCGTACATAAATCCTTCATCACAATTGCTAAAAATAGTCTTTAAACTAGCAGTTATATTATAAGGTCTAATATGTTTTATTTTTATTTTATTGCTTAGATGGATTGCGACGAGCTCACAGCCCACCTGGTGTTAAGGGGTTACTGGAGCCCATAGACATCTACAACGTAAATGCGCCACCCACCTTGAGATACAAGTTCTAAGGTCTCAAGTATAGTTACAACCTTTAACCTTTCAAACCGAAACTCATTACTGCTTCACGGCAGAAAAAGGCTGAGTGGTGGTACCTACCCGTGCGGACTCACATGAGGTCCTACCACCAGTTATAGGCACATAACAAACACCTTCATTTAATGTAAAAGCTCAAAAATCTTAAAAACGGTACGTAGCCTCTTCATCCACTTGTGTCTTCAATTGTATTAACTACATGATTTTAGCATTAGTCTGCACGTAGTAAACACATCATTTCGACCGGTGAAAAGCTATTTGGTTTAAACGACATTTTTGCAACTTTACAGGAGAACCATTAAAAGTTCAAAATTTGGAAAGATATCATAACAAAAAGAATTTCAGCTATTTGAGTGGGGTAAATTTAATTGAGCTTCAATTAAAAACATCAAATTGTTGATACCAAATGAAACCGACTTTAATTATGAAGATAAATGTCGCGTATTATCCGAAATGTCGCCATTTACCAAGTAGTAGTAGTTTTATTTTTCCAACTGGAAAGGCAAAGGTATCGTACCATACAGCCTAATCTTTTATAAATATAATTATTTCTTTTTAAATGAAAAATGATAGTATGAAATGAAAATAGATGTGATGAAATGAAATTAGATGTGATGAAATGAGATGACATGGGATGAAAATTAAACATAATCTCAGTAAAATGGTGGTCGTTTACTGAGATTTTTTCAGTGGACTTTCTGGAGGATCCCGAGAAGTTACGTCCAGCGGCTTTGTTTTATTTTCCCACATTTCTGCACTTTCACAGTTATACTATACAGTTAATAAACCACCGTTATTAAGCATTTAAACCGGAAGAAACACTAAATAGGCGAAATAAAACAAATCACACAACTTCACTCCTCGCGTTCCCGCCAAAAAGTCCTAGTGATAGATAATACATACATTTAGATTATTTTTAAATCACAATTTTCATAACACGCAAAAGGATCTTTCAAACGCACAATACAACATTTATTATTATAATACTAAGTATAATTTTCAACGTCAAATTTTCCCATAAAAAGCCCACTATCGATATATTAAAATAAAAACACTTACTTATCAACAAAATATTGCTTGAAAATGATAATTTATATTCTCTCTTATCCTAAATAAATTACAAATAACATCTTTTTGATCTTCTCATTTAAATTCCTTTAATTTCTTTTGGCATTTTTTCTTTTTTTTTCTTTACGGTAAAGGAGTATCAGTACTAGACCAATTTTTTTTCTAATAACTTTTAAATTTTAAGTTAAACTCAATTCTCTCTGATTGTTTGATTCCACGTTCATAATCAATGTCTTTTAATCTGAGATGCACCAACCGCACAATAGATGCACAATCCACAAATAGATCAGATTTGTCTTGTGTGAAATTGGGTTCTGGCCGTATGATGACTTTGGATACTACTCCCCACTTCTTCGAATGGGTGTCGTTATAGGGAGGCATTCACCGGAAAATGGGCGGTAAAGTTATCCGATTATTACACCAGGGTACTCTTTAACCGGTATTTACTGTTATGGGGGTTTTTCTGCCGCAAAAAACAGGTTTGAAGGGTGGGGCAGTTGAATTAAAACCCAAGGTCCCTACCACCACCTACGCCATAAAGGATCCGTCAGCAAAATGGCCGCTGTAGCGCTGGATAATTCCAAGTTTAAACACTAGATGTCGCCTGTTGGCTGCTGTGGTCCGACAGTACGGAGTTCAGGTCGGATTCGCGAAGGGTCGGTGGCGTACCGAACGGAAAGTCCTGGAAGGATTACGAAATTGAATTCACATTTACTGGTGGTAGGACGTCTTGTGAGTCCGCACTGGTAGGTACCACCGCCTGCCTATTTCTGCCGTGACACTGTAACGCGTTTCGGTTTGAAAGTTGAAGTAGCCGTTGTACTGCTAAAACTGAGACCTTAGAACTTATAATTCAATGTGGGTGGCGGCATTTACGTTGTAGATGTCTACGGGCTCCAAGGAGCAGTGAGTTAGTCCAGTCCATCCATCTGTGCAGGAATCCAAGATATGCACGATTTCTGACCATCGATTTATGGTGAAGCTTAAAGATGTAGCTGCAAAGTAGGGTGTTATGTGTACCTGTGTGGGGAGCGTGCGGGGCGCGGGAGGGGCGGGCGGCGGGGGACGCGCGGCGCGGGGCGAGGCGCACTCCGCACACTCCGCGCCGCCCCCCGCGCGCAGCGTCGACCGCCGCGACCACGACTCCGGCATGCATCTGCGGACCGACGTCTCCACTCATCACAGACTCACCGATGTGGAGGTTTACGACAGACAGACCTTCCACCGAGCGAGTGATATTTCTCGGTAGACCAACGGTCCGAATGTTGTTGAGAATTTGTATGTATGCCAGCTTATCTTGATTTTTTCCTACCTAAGCTGATAGCCTTGAGAGGCTATGTCAGCGTAACCTAACAAGTAGGTAAGCTCACGGGGCTCTAATCTGGCTATTTCTGCCGTGAAGCAGTAATGCGTTTCGGTTTGAAGGGTAGAGAAGCCGTTGTAATTATATTGAGACCTTAGAACTCAGATCTCAAGGTGGGTGGCGGCATTTACGTTGTAGATGTCTATGGGCTCTGGTAACCACTTAACACCAGGTGGGCTGAGATCGTCCACCCATTTACGCAAAAAAAAAAAAACGTTGCTAACTCTGGCCCTAGCGAGAGCCGTGCTTCGTAGAATCTACCACCGGGTTGGAAACACGACCCACTGAGAAGATCCGGCGAGAAACTCAGTGGGCTGTATCTGTGGGTTAATTTACTCGTCGAGCCCTTCGACGGGTTTGACGAGGACGCTGACCGGTGCTTATGGTACCTAAAAGCACCGTTAATGGATCGGGAGGATCCGAAATGACGAGACAAATGTTGTTGTTCGGAACTTGTAAATATGCGAGCTTATCTTGAAAATATCGTAAGCGACAGCGACTCGAGCGTTGAAATATTTTTGTACTTTGAGGCATTAAAAAAGGATAACATTGACCAAAGATTTCTATGCCACTTCTCCCGACTTCTCAAGGCTCTTCACTTCGCTTCTACTGCAGTACTCACGCGTGGTGCACGATGTGCGCGCACGGCAACGCCGCCAGCGGCTCGGGCTGCTCCGCCAGTGGCTCCCTGCATCGGGCGCAGGCCGGGGCTCCCCAGGCGGCCGCAGCTCTCTTCTGTCTCGCTGCGGCCTTGTTGTCGCCCAACGCGGTGTAGATCTCGGCTAGGCGGAGCCGAACCCGTCGTACCAGCATCTATAAAATACAATTATTTACGGGCTTAAGTTACAAACCAGTTAGACCAGAGGTCTTTTCCATTTTTCTATACAAAGTGGAGACCTGGACCCTTAAAGCGGCTGATCGCAAACGCGTGGATGCTTTTGAGGTGTGGTGCTGTAGGAGAATGCTTCGGATACCTTCGGACAGCGAAGAGAAGCAATCTGTCTAACTTAGACAACCTGCAGATCAAGATAAGACTGTAAACACTCTGCCTTCACCGCGCACTCGAGTACTTCGGTCATATTGCTCGGAGAAAACCGGATAGCTTAGAGCAGGGGCTCCCAAACCTATTTTGTATACTACCCACTTTAAGAATAAATTATTATTTAGTGCCCCCCTTTTTTAACCTACTTAAAAACCACTATAGCGAGAGCTTAGTCGGTGTCTAAGAGTCCTCCTAAATAAAATTTCAAATCGCCTACCAAGCCTCTACACAACACCCCCATTTTTTTCTGGGTCTCTTACCGCCCCTCTTTAGGCTTGCAGCGCCCACAAGGGGGCGTTATCGCCCACTTTGAGAAAGGCTGGCTTAGAGAGACTATTCGTAACAGGGAAGATTTAGGGAAAGAGACCGCGCGGGCGCAGTCCAGCAAAGTGGTTCGACCAAATCCGCACCACACCAGAGATCCCATTCTACGACGCCCTTCATGCGGCCAATGATCGGAGGCGCTGGCGGGACATTACAAGGAGCAAAATCCTGTCGAAATATAATGATCACGACCCTCAGCAGCGAGGAAACGACGCGAGGAGACCAGTCTCTATTTGAAGATCGGGACGCGAGAACCGGAGATTCGACCAGCTTAAAGACGTCAGAAACCTTGGCTCCGACGGAAGTGGCGACTTCCAGTAATCTCGTGTTAAACTCGAGCGGACGACAGTTGCAGATCCTGTTCTGTAGACGCAGAGCCTCTAAGCAGCGCGCGGCGCCGTCCATGGCCTCCATCTGGGCCAGACGGTCGCCTAAGGCCTGGCCCGCGCCCATGGCCACTTCATAGTGCCTGGAAGAGACGGTATAATTATAACATAACATGACTTCAATATGGGTGACGTCATTTGAGGTCAAATAGGCGACGATGTAACCTTAAAATGGTCATCATTTTAAGGTTACAATTCAATACTGATTTGAGTGAGATGACAATTCAATACTGATTTGAGTGAGGTGAACTGTTTCGTCACGTAACGCGTTAGGGCGCCAGTCTGTCTGCCGTCTCTTTCTCTCACGCATACGGCAGCGGTACTGAGAACGTATGTAACTCCTAACTATTTATGTATCTATTTCAATTTATGTTACAATTTTCCTTACATTATCTTATTAATATACATAAAATTTAAGTAATAACCTAAGCTTTACTCAAATAAAACAGTAATCGCTTGGACGGTCGTCGCGACGGAGCTTACCTGAGAGCTTTGCCGACGTCGCACTTCCGTCGGTAGACGTCGCCTGCGATGCGGACGGCGCGCGCGTAGCAGCCCTGGTCCCCGGCCACCGCCGCCAGCCGCAGCGCCTCCTGGGACAGAAGAGTCACCAGATCAGTTGCGCGGCTCGTGCGGCGACACAAGCGAGGGGGGACCGACGCCATGGTCTTTTTTAATGGATTTTATGACCCGGTAACTAAGGTCAAGGTTTCGGTTTCGGTCAAGTCTTGAATGAAAGAAGAACGAAATGAAATAAGACGAGTTGATATGGGATGAAACATAATCTCAGTAAAATGGGGTTAATTTACTGAGACTTTTTCAGTGGACTTTTTGGAGGATCCCGAGAAGTTACGTTCAGCGGCTTTGTTTCATTTTCCCACATTTGTACACTTTTACAATTATATTAAACAGTTAATAAACCACCGTTATTAAGCATTTAAATTCGAAGAATCATTAAATGGACAAAATAAAACAAATCACACACAACTTCACTCGTCGCGTTCCCGCCAAAATGTCCCCAAACAAACGACTTTTTGGCGGGAACGCTGCCAACATTTCGCGGGTAGTATTTGGTTGCGCTGGTTTACAGCTGTTAGTTTTTGGTTTCGGAAGATAGCAACATTTAATTTGGTTTTGTAAATCCTGTCCCATCCGTCTCCCGCACATTACCTAGCGACGCGTGCGAGCGAGATCGCGTGGCGACATCGACAAAAGAAGTCTTAGTTACCAGGTCAGAAAACCCATTAAAAAAAAAGGTTTTTTTTGCCCTTGTAGGCAGACGAGCATACGGCCCACCTGATGGCAAGTGGTTACCGTCGCCCATGGACTTCAGAAATGTCAGGAGCAGAGCCAAGCCGCTGCCGTTTAGTCGTTGTTGACTTACGTTGCAGTAGTCGTGCGCGTCTCCGAGCTCGCCGCGGGCGCGCAGTGCGGCCGCCATCTGCAGCAGCGCCGTGCGGTGGTGGCGCGTGTTGAGGTCGGCGGCGCGCGGCCCCCGGCCCAGGTCGCAGGCCCGCGCCGCGCACGCCACCGCGCGCTCCGCGTCCCGCAGCCGCCGCCACAGCTCAGACAGACCCACGTACACCTTTTTTTAATACGCTCTTATTAGCTTCAGTTTTTTTTTCCTACCTATGCCGATAGCCTTGAGAGGCTATTTCACCCTAACGTGTAGGTGAACTCACGGGGCTCAAACCGAAGTGTTGCTAACACGGGCCCTAGCAAGAGCCGTGCTTCGCAGAATCTACCACCGGATCGGAAACGCGACAACGGCGAGAAACTCAGTGGGCTGTGTCTATGAGTTAAGCTTCAGACGTATGTATGTTAGTGTATATAACGGAATCTTTGAACATTATTTTGACCCCCTTCAAAACGTCGGATTAACTCGAAATTTGGTATTTACTTAATAAGGACCGACGATAATACGATATTTAAAAAAAAAAATACAAAGAAAATCTTGAAAAAATTGAAATTCAACTAAAAAGTGAAAAATAAATAATAGTTTAAAAAAACTAACAAAATATGCTTTTATAGAAAATCCAACTAAAAAATATAAAATAAATTTTAATAAATTTGAATTAAAAGTAGTGTAAGAAAAAATGATTTTATTGTAAATAAATAAACAAATAAATTCCGTACGGGTCGAGCTAAATAAAACCGTTTAAAAAGCGCGGAGTGCATGGTAAGTTTGTTTTTCCTCTTTGCATTCAACTATTAACAATTTATTCTATTCCGGAGTGTTATTTCAACAATTATGTATATATATGGAAAAGCAACGTTTGCCGGGTCGGCTAGCTTTAAAATAAAAATTATCCTACATTTATTCGTTTTGTGGACTGTTTGGCGGCTTTTGTGATAAGCGCCCGGGGCATGGTGGAGGCTCGAGAGTACTCTGCAGTCGGGCTGTGCCTCTCAGATTGCTGATGTCCACGGGCAATGAACAATAGCAAAGTGGCTGCTTCGCGGTGGCAATAGATCAGATCAAACACAATTTACCTGTAGCAATAGCGTGTTGTCGTTCTGCGCCTGCGCCACTGCAAGAGCTTTCTGGAAGCCGTCCATGGCTTTGGAGAAAGCTCCGAGCTCTAAGCTCACGGAGGCCACGGTGAGGTGGACGTAGCCGGCCGTGGAGCCGCCGCCGCAGTCGTTGTACAGAGCGTGGCGGGCGTACGAGAGAGCTCTGTGGGAAATATCATAGGTTTTTTTTTAAAGATCTTATGTCCTGGTAAAGAGACCTTTAAGCCAAGTCTTATTTTCCTCAAATTCTGTAATAATAATATGAAGCGGAAAAAATGAGATGAAGTTGGTTAATTTGAGATTGAGGATGAAATTTAATGAAACGAAATGGCATGAGATGAAATAAAGTCTAAATCAATATTGTGGTTATTTAATGAGATATTTTTAGTGGCCGTGTTTTTGGAAGATTCCTTCCTTTTTTTAAATAATATTAAATTGGTAGGGGCTCTCAATAAGCAAAAAAAAAACAATCCGAAATAGGCGAATACACAAAAAGATTCTTAATTTATATTAAGAATCTTTTTGTGTATTCGCCTATTTGTTTATACAAGCTTATAGCGTAAGTACTAGTAGTGGGGTGTATTGTTTGCAGGGGTAGCCACCACCACCCTGAGGAGATAAATCAGAAGATAACATGAAAAATGAATGCATCTTTCACAGGACTATCAACACGACCCTTGGTTAACTGGTAGATAATGCCTTAGGCATTTAATACATTAATGTACTTTTGTGCATAAAGCAGATTTAAAAAAACAAGTAATATATCGTCGTTATCAATCCAAAATCTGTTATGTGCACTTTTTCAGATTTTTACGTTATGACCTTTTCGTATAGTTCACAGCCCTATCTACCCTATAAAAAAAAAAGATGTGGTGTCGTGGGACACCAGGTAGGAACGAAGTTCCTTCGGCTAATGTAGAATCGACACAATTTGCAAAAAAAAAATCGTGCTCAATTTTATGTAGGTTTTCTTGATTTTTCTCTTAAATTTTGCTGATTAGTTTTTATTTAAGTATAGGAAAGTATTTAGGAAATTCAGTATTTTAGGAAATAATAAATTACGTAAAATAGAAAGAGAATGGATGAGAGAACGAAAAGAAAGAGGGAGAAAGAGAAAGGTATTATACACTACTCGCTTGTGTATGCGACTGTCGCGCCTGCGCACGTCTCATTTAACGGTTTTATTCCACGCACTTTTTTCCACGGATTTTTTCCTACGGTTTTACTATAAAAATTTTTTCAGTTCGGTCGCGCAGCAAAATCCCTATCCCCTCCAAGCCTGCCGTAAGGAACTTCGTTCCAAAAAAACTGTTATGTGTCTATAGCTTTAATATATATTTATCTATAGCTTTCATTTGATATAGTTCTTAAAAATTCACCTTCATCTATATTATATATAAAAATGAATTGCTGGCTAAAACTCGAGAACGGCTGGATCGATTTGGATAATTTTGTTCTTGAATTATTTGTGGAAGTCCAGAGAAGATTTAAAATGTAGATAAATATGAAAATGCTCGGAATTAAATAAAAATAACAATTTTGTTTTTCCTTTGAAGTGTCCCCCGTCGGACGGATTCCTTTTGTTTGTTTTAAGTTTATTTTATACAAAAGCTTAGGTCCTTTATTTATCGATTGAGGCACTGCGAAGTCTGCCGAAGTTACGATTTTTATACGATAATGTTTTTACTGGTTAATTCAAAATAGAGTTTTTGCACATAGCAGATCTTGGTTTGACAGCGACGATGTTCCAATTTGAAGGGTGGGGCAGCCTTTTTATACTTGAGACTTTGATCTCGTATTTCAAGATAGTCGGCGGCTTTTTCGTCGTGATATCTACGGGCATTCAGCTGGTCTCCGATTCATTAGTCTACTGCAATTAGCTGTTTCCTCACCTGTCCAGCCCGCCCAGGGTTTGATGAGCCCTCGCCAAGTTGAGATACGCCTCGGCACGCATCGGAGCAGAGTCCAGCTCTTCGGAAATACCTAGTTGTCTGTTTGCGAACTCCAACGATTCTCTATAAGGTAAAACGAATAACTGCTTAGCTCAATGAAAACCGCTAATACAGTTTAATTTCGCGTACATATTTGTATAGTTACGCGCTGGGGTTCGGGATAAATAAAATGCTCCACCAAAGTACAACTAAAAACTGTATTCGACACTTAAAACACTTCACAAACACTTTAAAATTCTCAATTCGCTTTTACCGAATATGCCGCTATCGAGAACATACACGCGTTTCGAGTATTGTGTTTCCGCTATTTGACAATAGATGGCGTTGTACTTCTCGAGCGTTCTAGGTGCTACTAGATCCTTCGATATTCGTTTGACTATTCGGCTATAGATGGCGTTACTCTTACCGGCGTAACAGTATTGTTACTGATATTTCAAATACTGCACAGTTGTCATAGTCGGCTACGAGTGATTTACTAGTTTAGTTTAAAAGTGTTTGAAATTCGGTTATTAAGTAGTCTATCTCGTTAGCTAAAATAGCCGACGATTGGAAAGTTGTATACGCTTTTACAGAACACGCGATGTATCACAAAACGAACACGAAAAGACGCGCGGGGTCAACGACTTCGAACGAACGCGGGGAGCGACCAACTACCGTCAGTACTAGTTGATCTCAGTAAGGCGTTCGAATATAAAGCCCAATCATGGCTATGTGTACTTTGAAATAAGCTGTGATACGCAAGTGATAAGATATACTACCTATTATATGGGTGGACTTTCGTAGTTTTTAAGCTATATTTACTTTTTTTTAACCGTTGACCGCCAAATATATGCATAGGTCCGCGGTGTCCTGCGTGCTGTTACTAAGCGTCTGGATTACCTACCAAAATTGTGTCTTCTTTTGATTTTAACCGACTTCAAAAACGGAGGAGGTTCTCAATTCAACGGTATGTTTTTTTTGTTACTTCGTAACTTTTGACTGGGTGAATCGATTTTGATAATTCTTTTTTTATTAGAAAGCAATTTAGTTTAGTTCTTATAGTGGTATCCATGAGAAAACCATATATGTCTTATATTTGCAATTAAGTACGTGCGCGACAAATAGATGAATAACTCAATAACTCAATATCACGCCAACCGATTTCGATGATTATTGTTTTTAGTGTATATTAATTTGTTTTGGAATATCTTTTTTTTTCTATTTGAAGTCAGTTTTTGTTAAAGCATGCCTATTTACAATTATTAATGTATATCTTTTAGGTTCCTAGAAATAGATTCATTCTCGGTGTCCTTGGATTCGTTTTTTGCTGAGTCTACTAGATATTCCGGTGCCCTTAGTAACAGAAATCGACATAATTACTTCAGTGCGCCGCGTAGGACACCGGTGACCTACATATCAATCAAAGGGTCAATCTAATTCTGTGTATGTTATTAAAGGAAGCCCTCTCATGGATTTTAATGGATCCCAAAAAGAAACATCACAAAAGCAACAACAACAGTTTTTAAATTTATGATGTGTCGAAAAGAGATAGCAGCAGAGAAAGAACGGGACAGGTTCACAGGCTAAATCCTCTAGTTCTCCGCCTTACCTGTACTTCCCAAAGTCCATGTACGCCTGGTACAGATGTCCTAAGAGGGCGAACTTGTCGTTTCTGTGCCTGACGCCGCGCAACGCTGACAGCCATACCTTGACGGCCTGGCGCTGCTCGTTCTGGCCGTACAGACGGACCCCGCGTTCAATCTGGCCAATTGACATTACTATTGACACATAGACACCTGACACATTTTTACTGGTAGTAGGACCTCTTGTGAGTCTGCGCGGGTAGGTACCACCGCCCCGCCTAGTTCTGCCGTGAAGCAGTAATGCGTTTCGGTTTGAAGGGCGGGGCAGCCGTTGTAACTATACTGATACCTTAGAGCTGATATCTCAAGGTGAGTGGCGCATTTACGTCGTAGAAGTCTATGAGCTCCAGTAACCACTTAACACCAGGTGGGCTGTGAGATCGTCCACCCATCAAAGAAAAAAAACAACATACCGGTGTTTATCTATATTTTTTTACTACCCTTGTAGGCAGACAAGCATACGGCCCACCTAATGGTGAGTGGTTACCGTCTCCCATGGACTTCAGCAATGCCAGGGGCAGAGCCAATCCGCTGCCTACCGTTAGTTAACATGTCGGATCAGTGTGCTTAGTGCGAGTTTTTTAACGTTCTCGAAATCGTAAAAGTTAAATCAAATTTGTATGCAGTTGGAACAGCGCCCCTAGCGGTTAAGGGAACTACATAGGAATTTTAGTTAACTTTTACGCTATCGAGAACGTTAAAAAACTCGTAATAAGCACACTGTGCTATGAACTCGTATAGTCTAGGTGGGGTCGAATGAAATACACGGGACAAGCAGATTGTGCATTATATCGCAGAAGCTATCATCAGGGGAACCGCTTGAAGTTAAAAATTTTGGAAAAAATATCGTAACAAATAAACAAACTTCTTCAGTTAATTTAACTAATAACGAATAAATCAATTATATCCGATCGTCTTGTTTACGATAACAAAAAAGAATTCACTCAATAAACTCACCTTCCGCCTGGCCAGGTACTGGTCGAGTCTAGACCTGCAAACTCGGAAGCAGTCCAGCAGCCCAGAGGCCGGGGGTCGGTGGGCCGGACCGAACCTCGCGCCCCAGCGCAACGCGCCATTCCTGGCCGAAGCCGGACCTGGGTATTCCTCCGAAAATGGATATACTTCTGGAAGGGGAGTGGCTTTTTTTAATACGCTTTTATTAGCTTCAGACGTATGTATGTATGTTTGTAACGGACTTTTTGAACATGATTTTGACCCTCTTCAAAACGTCGGATTAATTCGAAATTTGAATACTTATTAAGGACCGATGACAGTTCAATATTTTAAAAAAAATATTGAAGAAATTTAAATTCAACTCAAAAATGAAAAATAAATATTATTATAGTTTAAAAAAACTAAAAAAATACGAATAGAAAATATATATCGAATAGAAATGAATAGGAAATACAACTAAAAAATAGAAAATAAATTTTAATAAATTTGAATTAAAAATAGTGTAAGAAAAAATTTGTAACAAAGCGTGGGGTGCTTTTCAGGATATTAACAAAATAACCCTTCTACTCATATCTGTTCATAAAACATTTATAACTAGGTACTGATACCATTCAGTTTTTACAGTACAACGGCTGCCAAGTTCTTCGAACCGAAACGCATTATTGCTTCACGGCAGAAATAGGCAGGGCGGTGGTACCTATCCGCGCGGACTCCCAAGACGTCCTACCACCAGTTTGCGATGACTGGAGCACGTAGACTTGACATTGTTAAGACGTCTCCACGACGTCAAAGCTTTAAGTATATACACTCTTCAAGCTGGATGCGACCTACCCCCAGCAACCAATGAAGATCTTAGATCTGAGAAATGTATTCCTGTACCCTGGACCCAGTAATAGGAGCTCACCTTGCGTCTCATCGAGATGGTGTCTCGACGGATCTGGTGAACTGAGAAGACGTGTGGCTGATAACTGATGCGCCGGCACTCCGCTGGAAGAATACAAGCATGCGTGACACGATGGTGCAGGAGTTAGCGGCCCTGACTGTTGGGTAGGAAGTCGCGGGTTCGATTCTCGCATCGGGCAAACATTATGTAATGAACTGGTTTCATTGCTCTTTGTCTGGGTGTTTTAATTTATTTATTTATGTATATATTTTAAGGGATATAAGTATATTTGTCAGTCTCTGGTACCCATAACACGGAATCCTAATTCCTAGTGGGGCTGGATGATCGTTTGTGATTTGTACTTAGTTATCTATAATATATATTACCTGAAGCAAAAACTTTGTACCCCTTTTTACGAAAATTGCGCGGACGGAGGAGTATGAAATTTCCCACACTTATAGAGAATAGAGAGAAGGAGTGCAGATGCCAATATTTTTATTTAAAATATCCATAAAAAGTATGTAAATGAAATCAATAAAAAAAACATTACACACACTACCATATATTTAACACACACCCATACGCACTCTTTTGTTTATTGTTAAAGCCTGTGGTCTAATTGAGATTAGATTAATATTGTTTGTCTTTTGTCACGGAACGTAAGTTTTGTGAAATGAGTCTGGCTACCTACACGGTCTTAAGAAAAAACACTTATCAAAAATATGTGAAACGCACCGGTGGTAGTTTTTTAGTTTGACTTAAGTTAATATTGTAAATGTGCTAAATACACGGTCCTAAGGAAGAAAATGTATTAATTGATAACAAGTATTTTCCCTCAAGATCCGTCACATCTTTAATATTATTTGTCTGTAGTGTAGCCTTGGCGAAATCTGTGATTATAGAAGTATAGACTCTTACAATAGAACCATAATAATGTTCAAACTTACAATTCTCTATAATCAAAAAATCCGAAAATATGGGTGCGTTGAAATTAGAGTGATACAACTAGTGTGTTCAGTAATGTCACTATCTCGCTCGCACTTTCACGGCATGAGGTCAAAAACTACTCTAACCTTATAATATGTCGTTCGGCAACAATTAGGGGAGTGCTCTGAGGAATTGTTCGAGATGATACCGGCATCTCGTTTTTACCATCGCACCGCCCACCACCGGAGTAGAGTTCATCCGTACTACCTGGAGCCACTGCGGTCATCCACAGTGCGTTTCCAGAGATCTTTTTTGCCACGTACCATCCGGCTATGGAATGAGCTTCCCTCCACGGTGTCTCCCGAGCGCTATGACATGTCCTTCTTCAAACGAGGCTTGTGGAGAGTATTAAACGGTAGGCAGCGGCTTGGCTCTGCCCCTGGCATTGCTGAAGTCCATGGGCAACGGTAACCACTCACCATCAGGTGGGCCGTACGCTCGTCTGCCTACAAGGGCAATAAAAAAAAAATGCCCAGCGTTTAACTTGAGAGGTTTTAACTCACTTCAAATCAGAAGATTCTCGGTTCGACTCCACTTTTTATAATAATAATATGTCGTTCAACTCTGCACTCTTCACTCTGTTTACGACTGCTACTTTCACATCAGTGTGCTTAGTGCGAGTTTTTTAACGTTCTCGATAGCGTAAAGGGGGAGGGGGAGGGGAGGTAGGGGGAGGCCTATGTCCAGCAGTGGACTGCCGCAGGCTGATGATGATAATGATAGCGTAAAAGTCAACTCAAAGTATGCAGTTGCAGCAGCGCCCCTAGCGGCATACGTAGGCAAACGTTCCAACCCCATACAGATTTGAGTTAACTTTTACGCTATCGAGAACGTTACAAAACTGACACTAAGCAGACAGACCGCTTGCAACGCTTGCACTTTGCCGTTGGATTTCCGAGGAGTAGTAGTTCGCTGCCCACAGCTGGACACTTCGACATGCCCCTCCCCTCATCCACCCGTATGAGACAGTTCTCCTTACCCGAGAAAGTCACGTGACTCGATAGAGTCCCACGACATATTGTGCGGGTGTCGGCGACAGGGTCACCGGGCGGTCGGGTGCATCGCTCTCCCTCTTGCACGCTGCGCGGCGTCGCTGTGCGAAAGAGACGAAATATTACAGCTCCCGTCGATCGTGGTTCTAGAACTTCTATGTAAGGGATTTATATGAGCGCGAATAAAGTAGCTTTTAATTTATTCAGAACGGAATCTCCAGTAGTTACTGAAGAATTAGAAAGAAAATTACTAATTAGTAAGCAAACATTTTGGCCTCTTTTAAAACCTTTTGGCGGGAACGAAAAGAGCAGAGTTGTATGGACTGTTTTCTTTTAATTTAGTATTTCCTCAGGTTCAACTTCATTCACGTGCACCAATTTGCACGCACAGCATTTTTTTTTTAATTCACTGCATTCCATTTCACGTTCAGATTACATTCAGCATCTGTTAGATGCTAGTCTTTGTATTGTTAGAGTTGGTAAGTTACCTGATTCAGACAGTTTTATGGTTATTATTTTGACAGCTCCCGTGATTCATGGCGCCATGATTTTTCTCCCTACTCAACGCCATCTTGCTTCATGATCTGCAAAACAATATACATAAGAAACATTTACTCTAAGACAACCTAGAGAATATTCCAAAGGGATTATGGGAATATATTTTAAAAAAAAACAGGATTACCTAAAGTGAAAGTTGTGGTGGCCTAACGGATAAGACGTTCGGTAAATTCGTGTTGAGCGATGCACCGGTGTTCGAATCTCAGGCGGGTACCAATTTTTCTAATGAAATACGTACTCAACAAATGTTCACGATTGATTTCCACGGTGAAGGAATAACATCGTGTAATAAAAATGAAACCCGCAAAATTATAATTTGCGTAATTACTGGTGGTAGGACCTATTGTGAGACCGCGCGGGTGGGTACCGCCACCCTGCCTATTTCTGACGTAAAGCAGTAATGCATTTCGGTTTGAAGGGTAGGGCAGCCGTTGTAACTATTCTTGAGACCTTAGAACTTATATCTCAAGGTGGGTGGCGCATTTACGTTGTGGATGTCTATGGGCTCCAGTAACCACTTAACACCAGGTGGGCTGTGAGCTCGTCCACCCATCTAAGCCATAAAAAAAAAAAAAGTGATTTTTTTTCATGCACACTTGCCAGAATTACGAATGTTATTAAGAGAATTCAGTCTAATTAGACGAATGGAAAATGAAATAAAAAAAACTGCCTCCCTTTATCTATTTGTCCGCATTTTCTACCCATTTAATTGGGAGGTTTTATAGAAAATATATTTAACGAAAATTTATATACATTTAATATTTAATTGTCTATTGAATAATTCAAGTTAGTTAATTTCGGATTGTATGTTAATTGAAATAAATGTTAACACATTTTTAAGACATCAACAAATATTACATTAATTGTTATATGAAAAATAATTTGCACTAAATAATACATATTTGAAAAAAATATTATGCTAAAACTTAAACCGCTTTGATTGTAGACATCCTTCCCGACCCAGGTCGTACGCGTAGCGACTAGGTAACCGTCACATTTAGATAATTGGGTCACAGACCTAGTTTTAAGGTCTATTTTTAACAAATTATTTTTACAATTTGCAAAATTGACGCCGAATATTTTTTTTTATATCGAAACGATTTGTGATTGCATTATCTGTTACAGAGGTACCAGCGATAAATTAATTTCGAAGTAATTGAATTAAATGCGAAAACTCTTAAGTTTGGCATACAAATTGTGATGTGAGAAGCATAGAACAAATCAACACACTAAGATTATAGATATTTTTTTTAGAATGATTCCAACACCTGTCAGTCCAATTGAGGATTGATTAGGATTTATTTTGTTTTGTATTAAAGCACAAACGTATGCACTGCTGATTAATAATCGATTTTAACTATAGGCGCAACATTAAAACGTTTTTAAAATATCACAATTTACATAACATTTTAAAATTTCGATTATCACAAATAATAGTTGGAATATTGTTTTACATTTAAATATAATATAATTTACTCACCCGTGACAATTTAATGTAATTCAGTCACTCAATTGACTCCGATTAATTTGGCGTAACAAAAAAAAAAAACTGTGACGTTAATTTATAGGTTATAAATAGCACTTCTCTATTGAACTTTCGGATAAAATCGTTATTTTGACTGTTTTAAGTTGTCGATATACGTGTTTTACTATACTATATTATTGTAATATAGTAATTAACTATTTAATGTATTACAATCTTATTATTGTTTAGTTTATTTTCCGTTTTCACTAATAAATGTTTCATCTGTGAAACTTGATGGCGGAGGTCCGTGGTCCCCGCCCAAGCTGACTGGTGTGTGGAAGGTTAGAGGCGGGGTGGGAGTCGCGAATCGTCCTAAAACATTTTTCATTATTTTTTTATAGTTTTTGAAATGATTATTGTTTGCCGAAAATGCATTTAACACAGTGGATTAAAACTATTATTATATCTAGTACTGTTTTAGAGTTATAGTATGATTTATATTACAGCAATTAAAAAACAAAAGTATTACAAAAGTACAATGGGCGATCTTATCGCTACCATTGATCTCTTCCTGACAACCATCAGGTGGACAGGAATCATTTCAGGAAATAAATTAACCGCCGTAAGCTGATCAATGGAAAAAAGAATATATAAGAATATTGTTTACGTCGAGGGGTGTAATGCTATTTGCTTTAAGTGACATTTTTGCATCTTTACAGGAGAACCATTTAACGCTTGAATTAGAAACGAATATCATAACAAAGAAACTTCTTCAGCTGTTTGAATGGAGTAAGCCTAAATGAAGTACGTCTAAAAACATCGATCTGTTGGTGTTAATACCAAATAAATAGAACCTTTAATTACAGCCGCTTAAACCAAATATCCTTTCATCCCTCGTTGTAATATCAATAACATAACGATATGATTATTACTACGTGACACACATTTATTACTTTAATTATGAAGATAAAACCCGAAATGATTAAAACTCATCAAAATAACCCTGAGATATGTCATTAATGTCAAGTCATAAATATTAATGGCAAAAAATAATTTCTATTAAATACTAGCTGACCCGGTAGACTTTGTAGTGCCTCAATCGATAAATAAAAGACCTAAACTTTTGTATAAAATAAACTTAAAACAAACAAAAGGAATCCGTCCGAAGGGGGACACATTAAAGGGAAAACCGATCATTTTCATATTTATCTACCTTTTAAACCTTCTCTGGGCTTCCACAAATAATTGAAGACCAAATTTAGCCAAATCGGTCCAGCCGTTCTCGAGTTTTAGCGAGACTAACGAACGACAATTCATTTTTATATATATAGATAAATATATAGATTTAGGGTTTAATCAGCTCAATATTCGTATACTGGTGAATGAGATAAATGAGAGAAAGGAAATTGTAGTAATGCGACTCCACGGCTGTCTATGTTCGATCTCAGCATCCCTCTGTCCCTCTCGGAGGGCAAGGCGCGCGCGTGGAAGCCTCGTTCCAGACACAGCGATACACTACTAAACACCGTGCCACGCTTTTATGACGATATCTTCTTATGATAAGATCCTGGCTTCAATAACGTCCTCTGAGACAACACGATTGAACAATTGTAAACTTTAATTCTGTTTACGGATGATGCATTTTACTGTGCACGCTTCGAAGACTAGTGACTGTTTTTTTGCGTAAAACAGCTGACTGACACGCGGAATATGTCGGTCTGTAGAGAATTGATAGTTTTTTGTTTTTCTACCGTAACATACTTACTGTGTCTTAGAATTTTCCTACATGAAAATGGTTCTATGGATTTAGCGATAAGATTAGAGATATCACGCTTGCCTATTGACTGATTTTCAATGCCAATTAGATTTTCTAATGCAATAAAATGTAGTCTTTCTCTCTCTCTCCCTTTCTTTTCTCTCTTTCTCTCTCTGGTTCACGCAACCTTATTGAGAAATTTCATGATTATTTTAGGAAATTAAATGCTTAGAAAATGAATAAAAATCAATTGTTTTCTTATTGTGTAGATGGGTGAACGAGCTCACAGTCCACCTGGTGTTAAGTGGTTACCGGAACCCATAGGCATTTACAACATAAATGCCATCACCCACCTTGAGATATGAGTTCTAAGGTCTCAGTCACAGCGGCTGCCCCACCCTTCAAACCGAAATGTATTACTGCTTCACGGCAGAACAAAACAGGCAGGGTGGTGGTACCTACCCGCGCGGACTTAGAAGAGGTCCTACCACCAATAAGTACGCAAATTATAATTTTGCGGGTTTGATTTTTATTACACGATGTTATTCCTTCACCGTGGGAGCCAATCGGGAACATTTTGTTAAGTACGTATTTTATTAGAAAAATTGGTACCCGTCGTGCCGTCGGGATTCAAACACCGATGCATCGCAAGATAGGTACAAATGCACCGGACGTCTTATCCTTTAGGCCCCGACGACTTCAATCTGCTTTTATCTGTTTTTTTTTCAAATTGTTTCGACAGGCGAATGAGCCGGAATCTAGTTTTACCTTCAGTTTCCGCCATGCTTTTTCTTCACAATTAAAACCCACTTTAAGGTTTTAATCTTGCTTATTTTATTGTCATTATAATTATTATTTCCAAATTATTCGAACACTTCAGCGACCAAAACGTGAGTTGAACTATTTATATTTATATACTGTTATACATATTATGAGATACATATTAGTTAGATCGACCAGGTCTTAGACTTTAGGAGACTAGTTAATGCTGAAACGATAAGCAACAATTGTCCTTTAAAATCGTCCTGGATTAAGGCGTCTTTTTTTTTTTAAAATGAATACGTACTCCACATGTGTTGAGGAGTTTTACGGTGATAATTTTAAGGCGAATTTTAATTGGCAAATGTAATTACTGTGCTGTGAGCACTTACGAGAAACTTGCGGTTTTAATTTGGGACAACATTTTTTAAATACAAATAAGATTTTAATCTATTTTTGAGAGGCTATGCCAGCGTAATTGTGCCAGTAGATCAGCTCACGGGGCTCAAACCTGACGATGTTGCTAACATTAACCCTAGCAAGAGCAGTGCTTCGCAGAATCTACCACCGGATCGGAAACGCGACCCACTGAGAAGATCCGGCGAGAAACTGAGTGGGCTGCGTCTATGGGTGATTTTAGCCTCATTTCTCAATGTGTGTAGCGGTATGTTCGTGATAACTACGCTCTCAGGCAGCCGCTGGTATAGTCAACTCTAGCAATGAGGCGATGATGACCCAGCAGATACTAAAATCTATATATATATAAATGAATTGCTGTTCGTTAGTCTCGCTAAAACTCGAGATCAGCTGGACTGATTTTGCTAATTTTGGTCTTCAATTATTTGTGGAAGTCCAGAAAAGGTTTGAAAGGTGAATAAACATGAAAATGCTCGGCAGTAAATAAAAATAACATTTTTTTTCCCTTTGATGTGTCCCCCGTCGGATAGATTCCTTTTGTTTGCTTTAAATTTATTTTATACCAAAGTTTTGGTCTTTTATTTGTCAATTGAGGCAGTATGAAGTCTGCCGGATCAGCTAGTCTGAAATAAAAACTAAATACATGTAAAATAGGAAATGGCATTTAGTGCGGTCTCCAATGTATTCGAAAGCAGCAATGGACGCGTTGATCTTTAAGCACGCGCGACTCCAAACACATTGTTTTTTAAATGAGGCAAAAAAATATTTATTAATAAAAAATATAAAAAAAAACACATTTCGTTTCTCTTTCCGTAAACGAGACACTCAAATAAAAACGTCTCGACGCTTTCAGTCTTACAAATTCAAAACTAAATATATTGCGGGCATCAATTTTAATATAAGCGTTAATAAATTGTCATCTCTCAACGGCGTCGCTGCCACGTTTATTATTAGAAAGCATATTTTCTTGAATACTAAACATAAATACACCCCTCGAATTCAGTAGCGAACTCGACGCGGAACGAAGCGCGTCTACAAAACATCAAACAACAAAAATAAAAACGAAAAAAAAAAATGTCAGAAGTCATAACGAATTAGTGAAAAAGTTGAAGTGTCAAAATTTACCGCCAAAATTTTTTCAATCGTATATATCAATTGAGTGTCAAATACAATAAAACACACAGAAACAACGATTTCCTTTTAAAATAATTGTAAAATTGGCGAGTAAATTAAATATTGTTTTGCTCGAATAGAATCCAATTATTGTATGTATAGTTTTTTATTTAAAAAAAAATGAACTACACGTACGAAGAATACAGGAAAAACGAAGGACAGTGTTGCCAAGTTAAAAAAGAAAGTAAAAACGTGGATAATTTTGAAAGTGAAGAGCACGTTCAACACGTGCTGGGTCCGAGCCGGAGATGCCTCGCGTGGGCCTGCAAGGCTTGTAAGAGGAAAACTGCCGCTGTCGACAGACGAAAAGCGGCCACATTACGTGAAAGAAGACGACTTAGAAAAGTAAGTCTGCGGAATGTGATAAAACAGTATACAATATTTAAGGTTTAGTATGAAGTTCAAATAAATAAATAAACTAAAATTTCCCCTTACCTGCTTACAGTATAAGTACTGATTATAGATAGTATAACGCTCATAAAAAAAACTCACAGATTGGAATAAGAATTAATAATAATAAGGTTGAAAATGGTAGTTGAGTATGAGGTATTGGTTTCTGAATAACTTTTTCCTGGATGATCTTACACCAGCTCAGTCTATCCTGGGCTGCGTTGATGGAATCATGAATTGGAGCCTTCAAAGAGGCCTGTTACGAGCAACTTTTCTAAATTGTCGCATCTCTGTTTGGAAATGTATTTAAATAATTCGATACTCCTCCGTGTAGATATGGTGCTCTGCATGAAGTTCATGAAATTCTGTGTACCTCGCTACGAGTTTACGTGCTTTGAATCATGTTTCGAATATGTGTTTTCCTATACACCCGCAACTCTTCACGATTTCTGCTAATTTCCATTTTATTTAAAGACGCGCTTTTTCTATTTGTGATCTCTTATGAGTTCTGCCTTCACCGCATTAAGACCAGATAATCTTGTCCTTCTTTCTGCTATTGTTATCGTGTTCAATAAATATATGTTTGCATAAACATATTCTTTTATTTTAATTTTTATTGCTTAGACGGGTAGACGAGCTCGCAGATATCCTGGTATAAAGTGGTTACCGGAGCCTATAGACATCGACAACATAAACTTACCGTAACATATGAGTTCTAAAGTCTCAGTTTTTAATACGATTTTATTAGCTTCAGACGTATGTACGTTACTATGTATGTAACGGAATCTTTGAACATGATTTCGACCCCCTTCAAAACGTCGGATTAACTCGAAATTTGGAATACTTATTAAGGACCGACGACAATTCAATATTTAAAAAAAATTGAAAACATTGAAATTCAACTAAAAAATGAAAAATAAATAATAGGTAGTTTAAAAAACTAAAAAAATACGCATTTATATAAAATCCAACTAAATAATAGAAAATAAATTTTTATTAATTTGAATTAAAAATAGCGTAAGAAAAAATGATTTTATTGTAAAAAAAACCATGGGGTGCATGGTATCAGTAGTTATAAATATTTTATGAACGGATATGAGTAGAAGGGTTATTTTGATAATACCTGAAAAGCACCCCCCGCTTTTTTACAATAACATCATTTTTTCTAACACTATTTTTAATACAAATTTACTAAAATTTACTTTCTATTTTTTAGTTGGATTTTCTATAAAAGCGTATTTTTTTCAGTTATTTTAATTACAGTACAATGACTGCCCTACCGTTCAAGCCGAAACGCATTACTGCTTCACGGTGTAAATAGGCAGGGTGGTGATACCTACACGTGCGGACTCACAAGACGTCCTACCATCAGTAAATCTACCACCTGTACTACTTATTTTACTGTCATTCAATCGCTCGCGAGCAACAAAATTATAGTGTATTTGAAACGTCGCAAATAATGTAATGATAATTAAAATATACGCGATCAAACCATAAATGGAGTTTTAAGTGTACGGCTCGCGAAAACCGACGTTGATTTGTTTTAGTTTCATTAAGCAGTAATTTAATTTCACAACGAATTAACTCTAATACTCTAATTACTACATAAATTCGACCCTCTTAAATACTAGCCGTATCGATTAGCGTAAAACTATAAGAAAATTACTTTCAAATTTACGTTGGTTATTTCCCTTTTTACGCAATAATGCTATTCCTTTTCTACTCATCTACCACTTTAGCTTTAGCGATTTTATTATTATGACGTAGCTTTAAGGTGCTTTTTTTATTGCTTAGAGGTGTGGACGAGCTCACAGCCCATCTGGTGTTAAGTGGTTACTGGAGCCCATAGACATGTACAACCTTGAGATATAAGTCTCAAGTATAGTTACAACGGCTGCCCCACCCTTCATACCGAAACGCATTACTGCTTCACGGCAGAAATAGGCAGGATGGTGGTACCTACCCGCGCGGACTCACAAGAGGTCCTACCACCAGTAAGATTATATCCAGTCCTACGCTGTTACATCATACATTTAAGCGTTGTTCAAAAGAGTCCTCTTAGTGAAGTGATTGGCTATGCGACTTTAGAACTTTACATTAGATGGGGCCTGTTAGCATCTGCCTTCGGCCATTGAAACTAAACAAAATCGCGCAACTTTTTTTTTATCACGAAATTTATTGTTATTTATTTGGTTTACTAACATTATAATACATCCACATAGTATATTAAATATAGTTACAAGAACAACCAATCATATTTCCTCCACAACCCACGAATAGATAGTGTACAGTAAACAACTGAAATTGTTGACTTAAAATTTACAAATTTATCTATACCGCGACGATTGTTTTTGAAGTGAAACTTCCTTATCGGCGTTGGAAAAAAATTTACCGTCACATTTTTCGGTTACGCGTCACTTTTTTCCGTTACGCGCCATCTGTTTTGTATTCATGTCTATGATAATAAAATCCTTTTGTTTAAACTTTATCTAATTTAACTTTTTTGTATTCATGTCTATGATAATAAAATCCTTTTGTTTAAACTTTATCTAATTTAACTTTATTTAACCAATTTCTAGAAAGTTGCATGTAGATCATTTTTCGAAAAATAAGGCCATAAAGAAGTTTCACTTCTTACGTGTGTACACTAGTACACGCACACATTTTTTTTTCTTCCTATTCGCTGGTACGGGTAGATGAGGTCATGGGTTCAACCTTAGAGAATTTGTTAACACTAGACCTAGCAAGAGCAGTGCTTTGCAAAATCTACCACTGGATCGGAATCGCGATCCACGATTAGTACATACATATTTGACAAACAATAATTAGTAAAAGCGAAATTAAGCCGTATTTCAAGATTAAAAACGAAAGAAGAGAGATTACTCTAAATATAGATCTTAACTCTCTTAATAAATCTAATTTGAACTCTTAGCTCTAGTACTGATTCGTCATTATAACGGTATTGGTACATCACTCAAGATACTTCACTTCCCATTCTAACCCTAAATAATAAAAACAAGTATAATGTAAAATCCTTGTAACGCCAACGTAAAGTTACAAAATTAAACTGCTTTAATCCCCTGAGCACCTCTTAACTCTACATAAATACAGTTTCTCTGTCCGTCTGTCACGTACGGAGGATTACATGGAATTAATATTGAGAATTTCCGGGAATTTAAATGTAGGTATTCAATTCTGGCAACATTTTTATATAACAAATTTATTTACAGGTTTTCCTGTGAGTGTTTTTTTTTAATTTTAAAACTACTGTTTATATTTGCTTATGTTTAATTAATTTATTTATAGAGAATCCACACAAAAACAATGATTATCATTAATTTCTTCTTAGTTTTACCTTTTTACATTATCTAAAAGTAAAATGAAAAGAAAAAAGCTCCTTACTGCATTCATACAGTACAACCTCTTTTTTTCGAGTTCAACGATCTTTTTTTAACCTGTCAGGATATCTATATATGTATATTAACACGTGAAGCAAAAACTTTGTACCCCGTTTATACGAAAATTGCGCGGATGGAGGAGTATGAAATTTTGCACACTTGTAGAGAATATACAGAAAGAGTGCAGCATGCTAATATTTTATTTAAATTATGCATTAATAATACATACATTAAATCAATAAATAAAACATTACACACACTACCATGTATTTGACACACACACATATATATACTCTTCCTCTACTATCAAACTTTTATTATTGCTTAAATCCTCCCGATCCACTAACGGTGCTTTTAGGTACTTCAAGCACCGGTCACCGTCCTCGTCGAACCCGTTGCTTGCGACGAAGGGCTCGACGAGTAAATTAACTCTCAGACACAGCCCACTGAGTTTCTCGCCGGATCTTCTCAGTGGGTCGCGATTCCGATCCGGTGGTAGATTCTGCGAAGCACGACTCTTGCTAGGGTTCGTGTTAGAATCGTCGTCAGGTTTGAGCCCCGTGAACTCACCTACTAGTTACGGTTACGCTGAAATAGTCGCTCCAGGCTATCAGCATAGGTAGGAAAAAAAAAATTGCTTAAAATCTGTGGTCAAATTGAGAATAGGTTAATATTGTTTATCCTTTAATATTATTTGTCTATAGTGTAGTCTTGGCGAAATCTATGATTATAGAAGTTTAATAGTCTTTGACAACAGAAGCATAATGATGTTCAAATATATATATATATAAATTCAATTAATTAAAGTCGAATTTCGATTACAGCGGGAACGCTAGTCCGAGTGAATTCATAGGACTATTGTATCATGATCGGACCTTTTTGTGTGTGTAAATTTTCAAGTAAACCGGACGGCTTGAGGTCGGTGGTAATGACTTCTACTTACAAACAAACATACATATCGCACATACGGTGCAATAACGTCACTTATATGCATATTATGTAAATTTTCAAGAGAAACGTTGAAAAGTTCAACATCTTATTATATAATTCTTATATAGTTCCAGGCTATAGAAACAAAATGATAATATTTAAACTACAACCTTATACTTGATCAGTAAAAGCAAACATCTCTCTCGTCTCACCAATAAAAACTCTTAAAAAAAAAGTATTTTCTCATACTCAGTTTAGTATTAACTAAAATTGCATAAGTGACTTTATATAACCGTATGTGCGATGTGTACAATGCATACTAAAGCGTGTTAAAGACCTTTAATTCTTTGGCCATGTATTCTCTGGTTGGAGTGTCGCGACCCGACCCGGCTGGCTGGTCCTGTGTGCCTAGTGCGAGTTTTTAACGTTCTCGATAGCGTAAAAGTTAACATTTGAGTTAACTTTTACGCTATCGAAAACGTTAAAAAGCTCGCATTGAGCATACTGACCTAGCGCGTTATCCCGGGACACTAGCGGCGTCGTTTAGCCGGGCGACGTTCCAAAGTCGTTTCGCTTCGAAGGCTCCGTTGGCCAGGGGTCTTTGGGGGTCAGTTGCGCGTCTGTTTGTAGTGTTGACCGCGGTAATATTCTTACCCTGCCCGGGTTCGGGACTCGGGGGGGATCGGACACTGGGGCGAGAGTGCTAGTCGTTTAGTGGGTAGGGCCCTAAATATGGCTCTGAGGTCCGCCTCAAACATTTGCGTATCATCTAATCCCACATACCCCGTGCGCCCCCAAGTGTGGGACCTTCTAAGAGGTCTCCCTATAAAAAGGGTCTCTCAGTTGTTTCACTAACTTGAAACCCCTTCAGGTTATTCAATCCCGATTTTGCAGGATAGCCGTCGGAGCACCATGGTTCCTGAGGAACGTGGATCTCTATGATGACCTGGAACTTGACTCGGTCAGTAAGTATCTACAGTCAGCATCATTACGCCACTTTGAAAAGGCGGCACGACATGAGAACCCTCTTGTCGTGGCCGCTGGAAACTGCATACCCGATCCTGTAGACCGAATGGTAAACAGTCGACGTTCCCCTAAACACGTCATTACGGATCCTCCCGATCCATTAACAGTGCTTTTAGGTACCACAAGCACCGGTCACCGCCCTTGTCGAACCCGTCGCTTGCGATGAAGGGCTCGATGAGCGAATTAACCCATAGACACAGCCCACTGAGTTTCTCGCCGGATCTTCTCGCCGGGTCGCGTTTCCGATCCGGTAGTAGATTCTGCGAAGCACTGCTTTTGCTAGGGTCAGTGTTAGCATCGCTCCAGTTTGAGCCCAGTGAACTCACTTACTAGTTATGGTTACGCTCAAATAGCCTCTCAATTCTATCAGCTTAGGTAGGAAAAAAATAATCAGTTTTAAAAATCACCAATCAAAGTATTCCTTATCACAGTTCGCGCTTGTTTAGAATAAAAATATACAAGCTCCCCCTTCTAAAATGTACGGTTGACAATAAAAATGTTTCTGTAACTATTTAAGTTGTCAGTGCACTCAATTTAAAAGCATTTAAAAGTTAATAGGACGCCCTCTGGGGAGGGAGAGGGACATTTCGGCGATCACTTAACTGATATTAAAATAAACTTTGGAGAATTTTAAGAGAATGCCCTTGTGGTTCGGTGATGCGCGGGCCATGTTCCCAATGTCGCAGATTCGAGACCATTGTTTTTAATACGCTTTTATTAGCTTCAGACGTATGTATGTTAGTATGTAACGGACCCTTTGAACATGATTTTGACCCCTTTCAAAACGTCGGATTAACTCGAAATTTGGCATACTTATTAAGGACCGATGACAATTCTATATTTAAAAAATAAAATAAAAACAATTGAAATTTAAGTAAAAAATGAAAAATATTATAAATAATAGTTAAAAAAAAACAAAAAGAAATGGCTTTTATAGAAAATCCAACTAAAAAATAAAAAATCAATTTTAATAAATTAGAATTAAAAATATAATAGTGTAAGAAAAAATGATTTTCTGGTAAAAAAAACAACAAAAAGATTTGGTACAAAGAAAAATGACACAGTGCAATAAAAAAACGAAATATGACAATCCATTCGATTTATTGCTCTACATTATTTCTCGACTACGTCCAATTAGTCATCTTGAATCTTTGGAAATATTTCTTTCATGTTTATTTTATATATACATCGGCGCAACATTACTATTAAATTAACTAAGATTAGTTAAAGTTAACTGTTTCTTTAATATTGACGTTGTTGGTTAACTATTGTAAGTGTAGATAATACACATAAATTAGTTATAGATAAGCAACTCAAGCACTCAACAAAAATGTTTACGGGCGTCGGCCACTAGATGGCCTCGCTTCGATTACTTTCTCATTGCTCCGGTAGATGGCAGTAACATATTACCTATCCTATATTTTATTTTTAATGAAGGATTTTGTAAATTTTCTATAACAAACATTGATGTATTAAAAATAACAAATAAAAATTTGTATGATTTATTAATTTTTATTATCTGTGTTTAGTTATACAATAATTAAATGCCTTAACTTTAACAACATATATGTTTAGGGGCATCCGCTACGAGATGTCGCTAGTTTCCATACAAAAAAATAGTTGTCTTAAAGTATCGCAGTTTCAGAGCCCTGATTGTAAGTCCAACGCGTGTAAACAATTGTTCAGGACGGTGCTTATAATGATTCATGACTACGCTATCCCCACTTTCTATTATAAATTCGAGTGTCCACCTGTAGACAGCTACCGTCGCTTGCGACGAAGGGCTCTGGGAGTAAATTAACCCACAGACACCGCCCACTGAGTTTTTCGCCGGATCTTCTCAGTGGGTCGCGTTTCCGATCCGGTGGTAGATTCTGCGAAACACTGCTCTTGCTAGGGTTAGTTTTAGCAACGTCGTCAGATTTGAGCCCCGTGAGCTCACGTACTTGTTAGGGTTACGCTGAAATGGTCTCTCAAGACCGTCAGCTTAGGCAGGAAAAAAAATAAAAAAATTAATAGCAAGCTTTTGATGAAAATCTTATCGAAATAGAGCTAGTGTAGGAAGTGGAAATGATATGAAGCAGTTTTAAACAAAGCGAAGTGTACTTGATTGAAGTGAAGTGTGGTAGTTTATGGCGCTGTTTTCAAAATCTTTCCACTTGCAACTGTGGCGCCGCCTTAATTAGCCTCCTTCTCAATGGACACTTTTTAATACACTGATATGTGCTGCTTATTTTTACCTTCCATAGTTCTGTCTGTTTATATCTGTTTATATAGAAAGTAGAGGTAAGAATCACACTCTCTGTGTCTATCAGCAATAACTTGCTGTTTATAGGTGAACACTTTTTCAACTTGTCTCCTATACAAGATGGTGCTTCTTACCTCTATATACAGAACATATAGGCAAAGCAACATACATAAATAAGACTAAGTTAGCCAACATAAAAAAAAAACAACACAGAACGCATAGAGCTATCAAAATGACAGATTTACGTGTTGCCATCATAATTAAAATAAAATAAAAAACAACTACAAAACGATTGGAATATTAAGGAAAGAAAAAGATGATATTAAACAGTGAGATACGATAATTCAGTCTTTACGCGTTATTAAGAAGTGCGTCGTAAAGTTTGTATGTTTACAACGTTTCTATTTTAGTACGGATCGAACTACAGAGGAGTGGACTTGTAGCGTTCTCAAAGAAAATTATGTGACTGAGACAGGCGGCGATCGCAACGCCAAACTCTCAAAACATGTGCGAATTCTAGGCGTTGGACGGCAAATGAGGGTATTTAAAAAAAAACGAAATATATCTAAAGTTAGATTTGACTTTTCGTTTTCAAAAAACGTTACGTCAACAACTTAAATGCCGGCAGCCAACTTGAGACATGAGTTCTAAGGTCTCCGTTTCTTCCGTACAACTACTGCCCCGTCCTTTAAAACGAAAAGCATTACTGCTTGACGGACGAAATTGGCAGGATGCTGGTAATTACCTGAACAGAAATGATTACTAGGTACATTATATTTTATTCAACAGATTCACTTAAGTCTACCGTGTCGTACTAGATATTAGGTATGTTAATAATTATAAGGTATTGTGTATTATCAATACGTCCAAAGAGGTACTAGATATATAAATAAATAACCGGGAACAAGGCACGCACGGTCATCCAGCCCCAAATTAGGATTCCCTGTGTTATGAGTACCAGAGACTGTCATACATCCATATATTTATATATTAATACGTGAAGCAAAAACTTTGTATCCCTTTTTACGAAAATTGCGCGGCCGGAGGAGTATGAAATTTTCCACACTTATAGAGACTATAGAGAAGAAGTGCACAATGCTAATATTTTTTTTAAATAATGCATAAAAGATACATTAATTCAATAAAGAAAACATTACACACACTACATACCATGTATTTGACTCACACACGCATGCATACTATTTATTGTCAAACTTTTGTTCTTGACGTCCTCGGTCACATTGAGAATAGATTAAATATTGTTTCTCTTTGTTAATATTTTTTATAGTGTAGTCATGGCGAAATTTGTGATTATAGAAGTATAAAATACAATCATAATAGTGTACAAACTTACAATGCCAATTAATTATAGTCGAATTTCGACTACTGCGGGACCTCTAGTACATTTTAATATATAGACAGTACATACCCAAACAAAGAGCGAACAAACCTGTTCATCGCATCGAATGTCGAATCGAATCGAACATCGAATGTTTGCCCGATGCGGGAATCGAACCCACGACTCTCGGCGCAACAGTCAGGAGCGCTAACTACTGCACCATCAAGTTAGTCAGTCAAAAAGTCTTTATACAACAAATAATGTAATTACAGTAAAATATCCAAAATCAAACCACGACTGTGGCCTTAATTACTTGTAATCTCTTCAAAGTTGTAATTTCTATTTCATAGGTTAACGCGGCGTTTGAGGAGCTCAGGGTCAGAGCGCGCGCTGGAAGCGGCCGCCTCCCGAAGCTGGAGATCCTCAGAGCAGCGATACAGCACATAGAACGGTTACAGGCAGCGTTAAGGGCCGCCGCAGTGGTGAGACATGAAAATCTCTTATCGACACGCTATCGGGTTTTTAACAGGATCCCAGAAAAGTAGGAAATTATGAATCCGACTGTATTCTTTGTTAACTCAGAACTTTTTCCGGGTGAACCGATTTTTTATTTGAAGGATGGCGTTTCGTGTGTTCCAGTTTAAATCTTATCAAGATTCTACCAGTTTCAGAGTCATCATTAATGATGCATGTTTAATTGACTTGGACTACATTGACGATATGCGCATTTCGTCTTGTCAAAGTTAATTTTTGTCATTTAGAAGACGACATAACCCAGTGCTGTTGCTGTGGTCTGATGATGGAGAAAAACCATTCACTCTAGGAAATCTGTATTGAAACATTAAGAATTCTATGTGGTTACCAAATGATTTTACGAATTGTTTTTAAGCCTTTGCCGCTATCTTCAATCAACATTACATACACCATCTCATTTCTGATCCCCCGGATCCACTCTTGATACTTTAGGGCTCTCCATGG